GGCTTGATCCCAGGACCCTGGATCATGACCTGAGCCGAAGGCAGACGCTTAACGACTGAGCCACCCAGGCGCCCCTATGTATCTGATTGTTATTTACTATAAATTTACATGGTGCAACTTTTTAGTCATTAATGGATAAAACATATGTGCTCCATTTTAAGCCCTTCCTCTGCAAAACAAAACTTAATTTGTTTGTATTTTTATAATGGTTTCTTTTGCCTAACTTTGTGGCCTGATTTAGCTACCAACTGCAGTTTATTAAATATCCTTAGAATAACAATTTTCCTTATTGAACAGATGCCACAAAACTGAGTTGCAATGAACACTGCTGTAATATCTGAACTCTGTTCATCAGAGTTCTATTTGTCCCTGCAAGTTTGCTTACTGCTTTCAACTTCTCTCCTGCCAATGCTCTAAAAGTTCTTTAGCTTGGGCCCTCTCACTCCACAGCCCAGATTGGCTATTTTCTCCCCTGAGAATTTGCTAATTTGAGAACCACTTTTCTACATACTGCTATTACTTAATCTTTAATTTTTTTTTTTTTTTTACCCAAAAGGAATACATGTATAGACTCAGCTCTTATTCTACACAGAACTGCACTGTTAGATATCTTTTTAAATTATAAGAGAATTTCCTAACCAATCAAAATACTGCATCATTCAATTTATAACTTAAGAGCACAGGGTCCAGAATCAGAGTCTGTGGTTTCAAATTCTGTCTTAAAATTACTTAACCTCTCTGTGCTTCAATTCCTTTTCTATAAAATGGATACAATAATAGTATCTATTCATAGGGCAGTTCTGAGGATTGATTAAAAGAGTTAATACAGACAAAGCACTTATAACAACGTCTGGCTTATAAAAATGCTCAGCAAATGTTAGATTTTATAGTAATTATCATCATTATCTGTGAAGTTCACCACTGAGAGAAGAGTTACATTACAAAAATGCCTTAAGATTTTTCACCAACTGGAATGAATATCAGAAAGAGCTTAATTTGGTTTCAAGGCAAAGACTTTTCTAAGGTAACAAACATTTCACCTCTAAATATTTTCAAAACAATTGAACAGGTTTGCCTTAAAACAGTTATATTTTGTTTTGGTGAGATAAAAGAACAAATTATTTTTTCAATTTTGGGGTTGATCATTCCTTAAAAAATAAATTTTATTGAGGTGTAATTTGCTTAGAGTAAAATGTACCTGTTTAAAGTGTATGGTATGATGAGGTTTGACAACGTATATACCTGTGCAATCTCTGCCACAATGAAGACATAAAGATATTGAACATTTTCATCATCGCAAAAATTTTTTACTCCTTAACATTCACTCCTTGCCCCACCTTCAGCACAGGCGACCACTGATCTATGCTAGACAGTGGTTTTCAAAGTGTGATCTTGGGGATCTGAGAAGACAAAGCTATTTTCATGCTGAAAAACTAAGATGTTATTTGCCCCTTTCATTCTCATTTTCTCATGAGTGTACACTGGAGTTTTTCAGAGGTTGGCTACATGATGTATGATATTTTAACAGACTGAATGGGAAGCTGATATGAGAAGCTAGCTATCTTCTATTTTGCCAGATGTTAAAGAGATTTGCAAAAATGTAAAACAACATCACTTTTATTACTGAAATAGTTGTTTTTGGGAAAAAAAATTCTTTTACGTTAAAGGTATGTTATTTTTGTTAACACGTAAGGGGTTATTATTATTTTACATTCAATGAATTCATAATTAAAAACTTTCCAGTTTTAATTTCTAATATTAATATCCATAAATACAGCCCACAAAATGAAAGCTCTTTGGAATCTTAATATTTAAGAGTATAAAAAAGCCTGGGACTAAACTGCTGAACTAGATGATGGTCCCTCCGAATTTTAAAATGCTATGATTCCATACTATCTGAAAGCTAGGTATAGAATTTTCAATCAACTATTCACTTATAACATGAAATAGTGGTCTGAATGTGCTGATATATCTCTTAGCACTATCTAAAACAGATATAACCATTTCACCATTTAAAACGGAAGAAAGCTAGCTTTTAACTTTCTTTTGTGAGGGATCATGCCATCCTATTTTTTTAAGAATCCTTTCATTAAAACTAATAAAAAATATCATTACCTTTTACCAAACACAGAGGCTTTTCTTTCAGATGTGGGTTTGTTTATATTCAACTTTCCAAAGGCTGGTTTCTCTTTGCTTTAACAAAATGAAAAGAACAAACTTTAAAAAATAAATATAAAAAAATATTAGTTTAAGAAATTTTTGGAAATATGTTGGAACTAGCACCTCTTTCCCATTACCTATAAAAATAATTCAGAATCATGAAAATTTTTAGTAGCAATCACAGCTGTTACAATGGGATAGGCTAACAACATGCACGAGTAATAATGCTAAAATGTTAAGAAGAAAGCAGAAAAAAACCATATCTACATTCTCATTTCAATCATTTTAACATATGTACATTTATGGATAACCTTAAAGGAAAAAAATTTAAAAATAGGTATCTTCAATCATAGGATAGCTACATTTAAGAATTTTCTTTTAAGGCCTACTCTATTAGAATGCAGCTCCACCTAAGAACATACATTATGTAAAAAACAAACCTAAAACATTGCCAATGGCAGCCTTTTAGTTTTCAATATAATTCAAGGCATAAATCTTTTAGTGCATGTAATGTGTAACAATACAAAAAATTTCTGATTTCAGAAGTTAAAGACACAAATAATTCAAATTTCTAAAAGTAGCTGAGGCTTATACAATGTACACCTAAGTAATTTAAGTACAGTTAGCAATTAACTTGTACCTTGGTATCAGAGGATTGATATAGCCCTCAGTGGCTTACAAACAGCCTTCTCTTAATTAGAACTCACAGAGAAAAACTAGTTTATGATAGTATAATTATATACCCTTTCCAGTGAATACTGAGAAAACAGTTTGGAGAAGTGTTCTGTAGGTTCTTCTAAACTGCAGCTTATCATTGAGCAAGTAAGTAATAACTCTGACAATTTTGCCAATTGGATATACTTCAGTAAATTCAAAGTTCTAGCAATAAGCCTGCTCAAATAAGCAGGTCTAGAATAAAGGAGGAAAATAAGAAAAAGTGCTGAAAGGGAATTAACAATCCTTTTTAGGGGTTGCTGGGCAAAGTATGTAGCTTTGGAAATTTAAGGAACAAATGAGATAAAACACACCTAATAACATGCCAATTTTTAGCCTTCATTAACCCAAATTAGGTACCACTGTGAACAAACAAGATTCATAAGAACATCACTCATAGTACATTTTTGTGTTAATCATCTTTACAGATTTCTTTGTCCAAAATGGTGACGCATGAGGTACTTACGTTTGAGGGGTATGGAGGCCTTGTTTATTGAAATCCTGAGACCTTAAATCCTGCATGGAGAGGCGGCCAGCACCACCGGTGGAAACTGAACTGCGCTTCATGCTTACTACCTGCATTCATGAATTCAGTATTAAAACATCTTTCCAGATATAGATGCTACATTAAGCACCAACTGTTATCTTCATCCTCAAACAGAAAGCAGCCAAGTTCCACTGTTCCTTCAAGATAATCTTTTCCTGGGCCCTTTTGTTCATATAAGGTGAAGTTCTCATTTGCAGGGAATGTGTATTTAACTTCATTTAAAAATATTCAACACACACGAATATTTACTAACTGCCTACCATGTACACCTGAGTGTGCAAGGCAATTGAAATGACACAATGATAAATAAGGTATAATTTCTGCCTTCACATATCTTCAGTAGTTAAAGCCCTGAAACCTAACCCAGATCACCTTACTGCTGTTGGCTGCACCTTTTCATTGGGAAAGTCAGAGGCTATCTGACAAGAACTACCTCAAGATGTTTCCTTTACTTTGGTCTTAGAGAATACAGCTATTCTGTTTTCTTTTCCTAACGTCCATCCCTCTTGCTCTGTCCTTAACCCACTGTTTCCCATTTATATTAAATTAGTGCCCCTTTTACTTCAATCTCCCTTCCAACAAGGATCAATTATATGGTCCACAAAATGGTCTACAGTTTATGTCTCAGAAAATTAACATTTCATTTCCTTCATACCTACTGAAACAGTTGCCTCCTAGAATACTCATGACTGACAAATCTTTTGATCCTATCTCATCTTTGTGGCATTAGACACTACACACCTAGATCTCTCAAGTTCTGTCTTGGTTTCCAGCGAAGTGGACATTTGTGATTATCCTGTCACTTCTCTGCGCTCTCCTTTGTCTTTTAAACGGATTACACTCTTTCTATCTTGGCTTGGCCACCTATTTCTTTTACTTTATACATTTCTGCTATCCATTCAACTTTCCCATTCACCTATATGTGCACTCCAAATCTCCACTTAAAATGTAATTTAAGATTAAGACTTTCCTACACACCCACTAGTATCTCAAACGCCACACCTCAAACAGTTCTTCATCTTGTCCCTCCTCTCCCTGCTCCCATCAATTCCTCCCTCCAGACTCTCTGCTCCCTACCAGTGTGCCCCTAGGTCCTCCTCTTCTCCCTTGGAAGTCCCTGTCAGTAGAAATTTATTGTACTCCGGGAAACTGGCGCCTCGCACAGACTCGGCCCGGAGGCCTCTCAGAACAGTAGACTAAAACGTTGTCAGGGCCTCTAAATCTAAGGTGTTGGCGCCATCGCTCTCTCCCTTGAGAACACTTCTGCCGGCACAAAATTAACTCAAAGTCATTAGTTACCTTTCTTCCAGTTTCTTGACACAACCCAGGGACCGAATTTCTGTAACCTGTGCAACTACTCACCCGGCAGGACAACAGCCGCCAAAACACCCAACTCCTCCCTCCACCCACCGGCGCAGTTCGAATTTTAAAATCTCCGCTGGCGTCTACATCATCACGTACGTCGAACGCGTACTCATCTCTTACGCGTCGCTCCCCGTCGCGGGAATTCTGCGTGTTGCTGGCGTCCTGTCGCCTCACTCAGCACACTGGCATCTCTGGTAAGTGTGAGCGGCTCCTACAAAGTCTGGTCGGATTTCTAAAGTTAGCGCCGAAGAGACGAGCGCTGTACGTCTCTGAGTAGCTGACAGAGCTCTCCAAATCGCCCTGGAAACGTCTTTTCCGTACAGCAACATGGCCGCGCCCGTTGGCTCGTAGAAAAAGAAATTTCCTTTGCCATGAAAGTGGCGTCTTTCATGACCACGGTTTAGAGGGTTGCTTCTCATGATGCAAGTCTGGGAGACGTCGTGCAGTTTTTCTGACAGGGGAAGCAGTGAGGTAGGAGATAGTAACTGCTGAGTGTGGGTGTAGCTGGCTTCGAGGATCGAGCCGGTGTGGCTGCCGCTAGGGTTCGGGTTCGCAGTGTGCTCGCTAGGGTTCCATGGTCTTCTAGTGGTGGCCAACGAGGAACCCAAGGGGGTGAGGGGTGGAGGTTTGGGTGTGAAGGGGAGAGGTAGGAGAGAGAGAGAGAGAGAGAGAGAGAGAGAGTTTTAGTATATGTGCTGCCGAAGCGAGCACGAGAGAGAGTTTAAGCACAGTAGTTCACTTTGCTAAAATAGGACTTCCCTGCTTCCCTGAGTTTGAACTCAAAGACATGTACTGCCCAGTACCTGGAAAGTGATGGGGGTGGGAGAAAAGCTTTGAGCCAAAGTCCTGATACTGATTCTTGGAGCAGTTTTGCGGTTAACTAGAATTGTAATTTTGGGCACGTCACCTTTTCTGAGTTTCAGTTTTCTTGACTACATTTCTTGCTCTCACTAGCCATTACATTACCTCCTCACCACAAGTGGTGACTGTGAAAGGAGGGCCAATACCAGGATTACCATCACTAATAGCATTTGTTTGAACAGTTGCTATGTGTCAGGCACTGCACAGCACTTCATGTAGATTATCTCATTTAATTCTCTAAGCTGCCTTCTGAGATGTCATAAAAAATGATGAATTTGAGACTCCGTAGTGAGAGTAAATAACTTGACTATGGTCATACTGCTAACACTACATGGAGTTGGAAGTTTGGTTCTAAATGCTGCTATTACTAGCTGTGCTGTTAAATACTTATTCTGTCCCCCTGTTAAGTTCTCCATTATACTAGATTTAGTAGGTAATACCCAGAACTTTATCATTTTTTTTGGTAAAAAGATAAGGTAGTCTTGAAAAAAACATAGTTGCTGAAGGAGGACTGCTCAGAACCAATAACCTTGCAATTTTGTTAGGGTTTGGTACTTCTGAAATCTGTTAAAATTGCATCGTGCTTAGCCTAGACCAGTCTTTCATTTTATGCTTTTTTGCACTCCGTTGGTAGCAGTGGTTAAGTATGGCAGTGTTAATGGGCTGACTTATTGCGGCAGATGTGCTTTGAAAAAACAAGAGCTGACCTCTCTGTGACCTCTCTAGGTTTATCTCATTAAAAAGGGTGAATTCGCATAGGTAATGTAGTATTCTTTGCTTTGACAGGACACGCTCACCTTTAAGAATTGAATGACTTCCTGACTTGGAGGATGTGGACCTAGTGGCTAGATTAAAAGCGAACAGGAGGTTGTGTGGAGGGCCCAGGAAGATAAGAGGATTCAATTGGGATTCCAGAAATAGGATCCCATTTTAATTCTCTTTTGCTAAATTGGCTGAAAAATTAGAATTATCAACCCTGTAATTAAAAGTTTATATTAAAACATTACATTTTTCCTTAACATATCATGAATGTCAAATTCTCTTTTGTGTATATGTTAAGTTTATATACTTGCACATGAATTCTACCTGTGTATGTGAAGTATATTTTTATTGAAATGCAGGACATTTAAGAAGTTAATCTGGAAAATTGGATTTTACATCTAGACTCTCATTTTCAGAGTTTTTTTTTTCTTTCTTTTTTAAGAGAAGAGAATGTCTGTGGTGCACCAACTGTCACCAGGATGGTTACTAGATCATCTTTCTTTCATTAACAACATAAACTATCAACTTCACCAACATCATAAGCCTTGCTGCAGTAAAAATGAGCCCACTTCATCTGTCCACTTTGATACTCTTCAAACGGATTCTTTGATCTCTTTGGGAACCTCTGCTACCTTTATTGCTTTTGACTCTACCACTAAGCCAGATAATGATGCCAGAGGAAATTGTGAAATCTTCATACAGAGATATGTTTTTCGATCTGAGCTATTTAATGTCACCAAACCTTATATAACTCCAGCTGTTCACAAAGAATGCCAACAAAGGAATGAAAAGGAAGATCCAATGGATGGTATTAAAGAAGAAAACCGCATTTCTATTATTGGGAAGGTAGAAAGTTTTAATACATTTTTATTTTTCTGCAGAACAGGCAGAAGTTTATTATTCCAATATCTTCTAATTTACTAAGCCTAAAAAACAATCCATAAAGCGTAGGAAGGCTTTAGTTATAGCCAATGTAATTTTTAACTCTTTCCTAATGTTCTACCATTCTTAGAAGACCAAATTTGCATATTTCAAAAGTAAGCAAAGTTTGCTCAAAAGTGAATGCTCTGTAAATTAAACAAAACTAAACAACAATAACAAAAAACCCTTTTTGCTTACTCAATTTGTATTAATTGCACGTTTTTACAACTGTTTTTGTTCAACAACGTGCTGCTTTGTCTGCAAAATCCTAAAGCAGTTTATGGATTTTGGGAGATTCTTAGAGACCTGTCCTTTGGGGATAAGCTCCTATAATGAAGTTTGCAAGAAGGGTGATATTTCATAAAGTTTTTAATAATGAAAGTAGAAAGCTACTATAGAAAATTGTATATGTTCTTAAAGCATATGTATTTGTGTATACACTGGTGCAGTCTTTTGGTGAAGTTTCAAGAATGCTGTACAGGATCAAATTAATTATGCTTTAATACTTTTTATGTTTCTGAAGAGTTCAGAGGTGATTATACAAAGTCCATTTCAGATAGATTATATTAACATTTTCTTTGATAGAGATAGGAATAACTTTATTACTCACCCACAAATGTTTGAGATCTTTCTATGTGCTGTTGTACATACAGGGATTAAACAAGATAAACATTATTGGTACCCTCATGGATCTTACAATTGAGATCCATGAAGAAAGATTATTAAATAAGAAAGCATGTTGAGAATTAGAATAAGGCAAGTAATAGGGATAATTTATTACATTGTTCTAGTTTCCTGAAGTAGAACTTTTAATATTCTTGTAATTTCTTCTGTCTTTTTTTTCCTTGGACAAATATTTATTGACCATTTGCTGTGTGTCAGGCATAGGAAAGAAAATATATAATGTCTGATATTTCAGTAAAATAGTATATAGATTATTTATCAATACTATTACTAATTCAGAAAAATAATAACAAGCATTTACAGTTTACTAAGTATGGGCATCTTTTAATGTTTTCACTTATGTTGGGTAAATTTCTCATTTTAATATGGAAAAATATAGATGGGTGTATGCAATGAGTTATCTTGACAAAACTTACCTTAATTCTGATATGCTAAGGCAAATTGTACAATTAGCTTAATCTTCAGTCCATTTATTTATTCAGCCAGCAAACATTTATTGTTAGCCTGCTGGGAGTATGCTACCATGTAAGCCCTGGTGTTTCAGCAATAAGAGGTATAAAGTCCTTGCTCTATTTTGCACTGTCTTACATGTTCTTTTCTATGCAGTTGTTAGATACAGAACAGTGTTAGTATATCTGATTTGTACCTAGCCCTCAGATCAATCATAAAGAGCTATTGAAAGTGTACTGGATTGGGCGCCTGGGTGGCTCAGTTGGTTAAGCGACTGCCTTCGGCTCAGGTCATGATCCTGGAGTCCCTGGACCGAGTCCCGCATCGGGCTTCCTGCTCGGCAGGGAGTCTGCTTCGTCCTCAGACCCTATCCCCTCTCAGGTGTTCTCTCTCTTTCATTCTCTCTCTCTCAAATAAATAAATAAAATCTTTAAAAAAAAAAAAAAAAAGAAAGTGTACTGGATTTTTTTTAATGATAGTATATGCGTAGTTCATCTCCTCAGAAATGACGTTGAGGATTGTACAATATATATCAACTGATAGATGATACTAGTAACTTTATACAGTGTCACAGTTTTCTTGTGTTCCATGGATGTCTGTGCTACATTTTATCATTGGTACTAGTTCTTGTTAATGGCAGATAAGGCTTAGGTGACCTTATATCACTTATTAAGCTTGTAATAATAATAATAATAAATAGTAATTTTTTATTTGGGAAAGCTTATTTCTTTAGTCCATACACTTTTCACTGATTCTGACCTTACCAGTCGGTTAAGCTCTTGAAGACTGAGATACACACTAGGGAAAATGTGATAAAAAAGAAATACTAATATATTTCCAAATATCAACATTGTGATAGATGGCAACATAATTTTCTTCCTGTAATTTACTCTTTAGAAGCGTAAAAGATGTGTTGTTTTCAATCAAGGTGAATTGGATGCTATGGAATATCATACAAAGGTAAGGTGTAAAATGTTCATTGATGACATTTGAAGATTAATGTGAAGTAGTATAAAACTATATAAATAAGGATGTTCTTAAAAATTAAACAATTATTTTGATCAAAGTTAGAATTTAATAGTGGAGTGATTTTTTTTCTTTTATGATTTCTGGATTTTTGAGTCATAATTAAAAAGGTATTTCTTCTTCAAGGCTCTAAAAGAATTTTCCCATGGGAAAAAAATGAAAGAATTTTCTCATGTTTTTTTCTAGGATATTATTTCATTTCACATTTGTATCTTTGATTCATTTAGATTTCATTGTGGTGTGAAGTGTGAGTTACACATACACATATGTATTTGAGTTTATTTCTGGATTTATGTCTTAATTTGTCTATCTTCCAGTTTCTTTTCAGGTTTTATAACATGAGTATGTTTTAATATTTGGTATGCTTACCCCTCCTTTTTCTGTATTTCTCTTTTACAGAATTTTTCTGTTTTGTTTGTTTGTTTATTTTCCCATAGGAATTTCCCATTAGGATCAGTTTAATTCTGGTTAGAAAAAAGAAGCAAATGGAATTTTTATGGCATCAAGTTAAATTTATAAATTAAATTAGGGCCTACTGACATCTTTAAGATGTTGATAACACAAATATGTTCTTTCCATTTGTTTCAGTTTCTATTGTCATTCCATAAGATTTTCTTTATAAAAGTCTTGCCAATTTCTTAAGTTGCTGTAGTGTTTTGTTTTTTTTTTAATCTCTGGGGTTTTCCAGTTAATACTTATAACTCCTGAAAATAGAAATACTTTAAATTACAGCTTTCCAATTATTTTATCTCTAATTTACTTCTCATTTGTAAATGAATAGGCTGGAAAATACAATACAATATTAAATCATATTTATGACAGTGTATATCCTTGTCTTGTTCCCGACTCAGTGGGGATGATTTCATTACTAAGCATAATACTGGCTTTTGGACTGACCTGCAAATAGTATGTAAGGAAGTTTCCATCTGTTCTTTTTTATTACCTTTTTTAAAAAAATATATTTTATTGATTTATTTGAGAGAGTGTAAGAGAGTGAGCATGAGCCGGAGCCGGGGGCGGGGGAGTGAGGAGGGGGAGCGGAGGGAGAGGGAAGAGGGAGCCTGATGCGGGGCTCAATCCTAGGACCCTGGGACTGTGACCTGAGCCAAGGGCAGACACTTAACTGACTGAACCACCCAGGCACCCCCCATCTGTTCTTATTTATTGTTACTATCAAACATGGTTATTGAATTTTATGAAATGTTTTTTAAGCATCTGTGGAGATTGAATAGGTGATTTTTCTACTAATATTTCCCTTTGATTTTTCCTTATGTGTAACCATCCTTCTGTTTGTAGTATATATTCCAGATGACCAGCTGTCAGTGCCTCTCCTCACTCAGAGATGCATGGTAAATTATCTCCCATTTGCCTAGTGAATCATGAGGTTTCTCAGTCTGGATATTTGGAAATGGGCACCATTCTTGGCCCTGTGGGAACTCCCTGCACTATTTCTTCTGTTTTTTGGGTAGTTCTTTTCCTGGCCTTGGATAATTCCCTCATACACTTAAGCACATCAGTACTTAGGGGAATTTCTCCAGTGTGAATGCCTACAGATCTACATAGTTCTCTCTCTGGGTAGCTCTTTTCTGTCTGGTACTCTGTCCTATGAATTCTTGTCTTGACCTCCCTATATTCTCTGCTTTGTCTACTCGCTCTGGATTTTTCCAAGGCTCTGTTCAGATTCTTCTTTCTTTTGGCCTGGAAATTTTCCAGGCAGTTGCCTGGGGCAGTCATAGGGCTTACCTATGATTTCTTTCATTGTCCTTTATTGCCTGATGTCCTGTGTCTTGAAAGCTGTTGTTCCTAAGACTCCATCTTGGTTGAAAGTAGAAGTCTTTGGCTGCTTTGAATATTTTTTCTTTATCATTGATTTTTAGCAATTTGATTATGATGTTCCTTAATGCAGTTTTCCCCTCCTCCTCTGTTTGTTGAGCTTGAATCTATGAATTAATAGTTTCAGCAAATTTGGAAATTTTTTTGGCCATTACCTCCTCAAATATTTTTTCTGTCCTCTTCATTTTGGACACTTTTATTACGTTGTTTTCAAGTGCACTAATCTTTTCTTCTTCAATATCTGCTGTTAATACAACCTAGTATGTATTTCCTTTTTGCAGTGAACAGGCATACCTTGTTTTATTGTGCTTTGCTTTATTGCACTTTGCAGATATCCCACTTTTTAAAAAATGAAAGTTTGTGGCAACCCTGCATCAAGCAAGTCTATCAGTGCCATTTTTCCAACAGCATTTGCTCACTTTGTGTCTCTGTGTCACATTTAGATAATTTTTGCAGTATTTTAAACTTTTTTGTTATTATGACATTTGTCTTGGCCATCTTTGATGAGTGATCTTTGATGTTACTACTGTAATTGTTTTGGGGCACCACAAGCTGCACACATATGAGATGGCAAACTTAATTGATGAATGTGTGCTCTCACTCCTCCACCAACGAGCCATTCCCGTCTCTCTCCCTCTTCTTGGGCCTCCCTATTGCCTGAGATACAACAGTCTTGAAATTAGGTTAATTAATAACCCTGCAGTTGCCTCCAAGTGTTCAAGTGAAAGGAAGAGTTGCATGTCTCATACTTCAAATTATTTATTAGAAGTGAGTGAGAGAGAGAGCATGAGCAGGGGAAGGGGCAGGAGGGAAGCAGAAACCCTGCTGAGCAGGGAGCCTGATGCAGGGCTCCAGTCCCAGGACCCTGGGATCATGACCTGAGCCGAAGGCAGATGCTTAAATGACTGAGCCACCCAGGTGCCCCCCCCCCTTTTTTTTGAGAGTGAGTGGGGCAAGGAAGTGGAAGGGCAGAGGGAGAGAGAGAATCTTAAACAGGCTCCATGGCCAGCATGGAGCCTGACTTGGGGCTCGATCTCATGACCCTGAGATCATGACCTGAGCTGAAATCAAGAGTTGGATGCTTAACCACCTGAGCCACCCAGGAACCCCAACATGTCTTATGCTTTAAATCAAAAGCTGGAAATGATTAAGTTCAGTGAAGAAGGCAAATCAAAAGCCCCATGCACCAAAGTGTTAGCGAAATTGTGAATGCAAAGCAAAAGTTCTTGAAGGAAATTTAAAGTGCTAACCCAATGAACATATGAATGATAAGTGAAATCAACCTTATTGCTGATAGGGAGAAAGTTTGAGTGGTCTGGTTAGAAGATTGAACCAGCCACAACATTCCCTTAAGCCAAAGCCTAATCCAGAGCAAGGCCCTAACTCTCTTCAGTTCTATGAAGGCTGCAAAGATGTGTGAGGAAGTTGTAGAAGAGTTTGAAACCCGCAGAGGTTGGTTCATGAGGTTTAAGAAGCTGTCTGTATAACATCAAAAGTGCAAGGTGAAACAGCAAGTGCTGATGTAGAAGCCGCAGCAAGTGATCCAGATGACATAGCTAAGATCAGTACTGAAGGTGGCTACACTAAACAGATTTTCAATATAGACAAAACAGTCTTCTATTGGAAAAAGATGCCATCTAGGAATTTCATAACTAGATAAGAGAATGCCTAACTTCAAAGTTTGAGAGAACAGGCTGACTCTCTTGCTAGGGGCTAATGAAGCTGGTGACTTTAAGTTGAAGTCAGTGCTCATTTACCATTCTGAAAATTCTAGGGGCCTTAAGAATTATGCTAATTTGGGCACTTGGTGGCTCAGTTGGTTAAGCGTCCGACTCTTGATTTCAGCTTGGGTCGTGATCTCGGGGTCCTGGGATCAAGCCCTGTGTCAGGCTCCGCACTCAGCAGGGAGACTGCTTGAGGATTTTCTCCCTCTCCCTCTGCCTCTCCCTCTGCTCATGCTCTCTCTTTCTCTAATATAAATAAATAAATCTTTAAAAAAAAAAACTATGCTGAATTTACTATGTGTTTGCTCTATAGGTGGAGCAACAAAGCCTGGATGACAGCACATCTGTTTACAACACGGCTTACTGAATCTTTTAAACCCACTGTTGAGACCCACTGCTCAGAAAAAAAGACTCCTTTCAAAATAGTACTTATTATTTTTAATAATGCACCTGGTGACCCAAGAGCTCTGATGGAGATGTGCAGTTAGATGTATGTTGTTTTCATGCCTGCTCACACAAAATCCATTTGGCAGGTCATGGATCAAGGAGTAATTTTGACTCAAGTCTTATTATTGAAGACATACATTTTGTAGGGCTGTAACTTCCACAGACAGTGATTCCTCTGATGGATCTGGGCACAAAGTCAATGGAAGGTCTTCTGGAAAAGTTTCACTATTCTAGATGCCATTAAGAATTTGTGATTTGGGGCACCTGGGTGGCTCACATGGTTGAGTGTCTGCCTTCAGCTCGGGTCATGATCTCCAGGTCCTGGAATTGGGCCCTGCATCGGGCTCCCGGCTCAGTGGGGAGTCTGCTTCTCCCTCTCTCTCTGCCTTTCCCTCTGCTCCTGCTCTCTCTGTCTCTCAAATGAATAAATAAATAAGAAAATCTTTAAAAAAAACCCACAAACATTTGTGATTTGTGGGAAGAGGTCAAAGTATCAACATTACCGGGAGTGTGAAAGAAGTTGATTCCAACTCTAAGGGATGACCTTGAGGGGTTCCAGACTTCAGTGGAGGAAGTCACTGCAGATGTGGTGGAAACAGCAAGAGAGCTAGAATTAGAAGTGGAGCCTGAAGATGTGACCCAACTGCTGCAAGCTCATGATAAAGCTTTAGTGGATGAGGGGTTGCTTCTGATGGACTAACAAAGTTATTCCTTCAGGTGGAAACTACTCCTGGTGATGATGCTATGCACATTGTTGAAATGATAACAGAGGACTTAGAATATTCCATAAACTGAGTTGGTAAAGCAGCAAAAGGGTTTGAGAGTATTGACTCCCAGTTTGGAAAGAAGTTCTACTGCGGGTAAAATGCTATCAAACAGCATTCATGCTACAGAGAAATCTTTCATGAAAGGAAGAGTCAATTAATGTGGCAAACTTCATTGTTTTATTTTAAAAAATTGCCATGGCTACCTCAGCCTTCAGCAACCACCACCCTAATGAGTCAGCAGCTATCAACACAGAGGCAAGACCCTCCACCCACAAAAAGAATATGACTTGCTGAAATTTCAGATAGTAGTTTGCATTTTTTAGCAATAAGGTATTTTTAAGTTAAGGCATATACATTGTTTTAAAGGATGTAATGCTATCGAGTCTTTAATAGACTATGATACAGTATAAATATAACTTTTATATGCACTGGGAAGCCAAAAAATTAATTTGGCTCACTTTATTGCAATAGTCACTTTATTGTGGTGGCCTGGAACTAAACCCCCAATGTCTCCTGTATGGGACTAGAAATTTTTATTTTTAACAACCTCCAGGTGATTCCAATGGAGGTAGTCGAAATACGTATTTTGAGAAAGACTGCACCAAGGGGGACGAAAAAGGTAATGATTATAGAAAAGAATATATAGTCTGATTTATAAAATACAGGCGAATCTTTTGCAGCTTACAGCCCTTGCCTTCAATGACTGATTTTATTGTGATAACTTGACTTTATTCCAGTGGTCCGGAACCCAACCGACAGTATTTCTGTAGTATGCAGTTTTTTTCTCTAGAAGCTCGATTTTTTTTTTAAGTAGTTTTGTGTTTCTTTAACATTCTTATTTTTTTCTGTACATTTTTGAACATATGAATATGGTTATGATAAGTGCCTTATTGTATTTTTCTATTTTTGTTCCTAATCTTTTAAATGGGCTGCAAGTAAACCTATCCAGCCTTTTCTACTGTTTGTTCATCTCTGTTATTCCTGTATGTTTCTATTGAGTGATTATTTCTCCATAATGTGTTGCATTTTCCTGCTTCTTTATATATCTGGTAACTTTATTTTTTGTAAGACATTTCAATTTTAGCTTCTTGAGTACTAGATATTTTCATATTCCTATAAATATTCTTGAACTTTGTTCTTGGACAAAGTTACTTTGAAACTGGTTGATCCTTTTGTGGCTTTCTTTTAAAGTTTTGAAGCTTGTTTTAAGGTTTTTTAGTTAGGACCAGAGCAGTCTTTAGAGCTATTTTTCCCCCCACTCATGAGGCAATACCCCTATGAGTCGTCTACCTGATGCCTTGTAAATTAGGAGAGTTTCCATTCTGGCTGGTGGGATCGCTGTTCCCAGCCCTGTGTGAGCTCTGTGGATTGCTCCCTCTGATCATTTGACATCATTTCTTTCCCTGACCTTGGGGAGACTTGAGTGGATCTTCCTGCAGCTTTTAAGAACTGTCTCTCTCTGCAGCTCTCTCCTCTTTGGTATCCTGCCCTGCAAACTCTAGCTGCTTTGACCTTTTCAGACTTCCAGCTGCATCCTCTCAACTCAGAGACTGTTGGACTCTGAATGGGTCTCCTTTGCTGCGCTGCCGCCTGCAAACCTTCTCAAGGCAGTAAGCTGGAACAATCATTCGTTTTTCCTTTTTTAGGGACCAGTATTTTTCACTACTTGACATCTGTCTAAGTCAGATAGCCTTTTAAAAAAATTACACTTTATACTTTTTTAAAAAAGTAACGTCTGATGAAAAGTTAAATCTGACCTCTGGTATTGCATCTTGCCCAGAAGTGGAACTTAGATTTTAATTTTCTAATTATTGTAATTGTATTTTTGCAAAACTTTGTATGTTCATTTAACAGTTACTTTTTTTTCTTTACAATTTAAGAAATATAAATTCAAAGGTAAGTTTATTTTAAAATTAGATCACTAGAAAAATTTAATATTAAATGTGATTTAAACTTAGTTTGCTTTATAGATTAGAAATTCTGCTTTCTTCTAGAAACATTTATGTTATCAAATTCATATTTATTTATTTATTTCAAATTCATCTTAATACATTTTTAAGAATGTGTTTTATATGTGTATTGTTTGGTTATTTAATTGTAAGTGAATTTATGAAGTTCGTTTTATTCCACATTTAAGAAACAGCAATTTGAAGGTATACTCACACATTCTTGTCTTTACATTTTATCATAAAATTATTTTAGTGTAAGCTTTAAAACATTGATTTCAGGAGCGCCTGGGTGGGTGGCTCAGTTGTTAAGCGTCTGCTTCGGCTCAGGTCATGGTACCAGGATCCTGGGATCGAGCCCCACATCAGGCTCTCTGCTCAGCTGGGAGCCTGCTTCTCCCTCTCCCACTCCCCCTGCTTGTGCTCTCTCTCGCGTTGTGTCTCTCTGTCAAATAAATAAATAAAATCTTTAAAAAGAAATAAAATATTGATTTCAATCGATAACGTTCAAATATTCAAAGCATAGTAGGAATTTCATTATTTAGAGAATTGTCTTAATGTAAATGGCCTTTTAATGTATCTTAACAAATTTTTCTTACAGATCAGGGGACTGATTTTGGATGGCTCTTCAGAGTTAATCCAAGAAGGTCTCAAAAGTGGCTTTCTTCATCCACTTTCTGAAAAATGGAACAAGTGTAGTGAGCCCATTACTTTACCACTTGATACCTGCAGTTTGTCAGAATTATGTACAATGGCAAAGCATTTGCCTTCTCTGAATGAAATGGATCTTCAGGCATTACAATTGATGGAAGAAGATATGTCTATTACAGAACAGGATTTATTTTCACGGGTTGTTGAAAACAACTCTAGCTTTACAAAAATGATTACTTTAATGGGACAGAAATACCTGGTGCCACCAAAAAGCAGTTTTCTTTTGTCTGACATTTCTTGCATGCATCCACTTCTGAACTGTAAGTAATTACTATGTTATTAGAAAAATATAATTTTTTTGTGGCCTTGGAAGTCAAGAGCTAGTCTGAATGCTAAATGTGGGTCAGCAGTATGAGGATAGAATAAACGCTTAATTTTCTCTGTGATTTTTTTCTTTCAAATTTAATTTTAAAACTCTGACTTTTGGTTTAAAAACATTTAAAAAATTTGAAAAAATTAAAAAATAAGACTAATGAACAAAGGGCCAAAAAGTAATTGGTCCCCATGAAAGCAAGTGTAGTTGCTGCTCTGTACTTAAGAATTCACGATATAATTGGGCTTGGCCAAACAATTTTATTTAACTTTTCTTTATAGCAAAGTAGGAACACTTTAGATATGAATATTAACACCATAGCCTTTTAGGTTACGTTTTAAGCTGGTGTTACAGTTTATTGTCTAAAATTTCTTGAAATATTTTCCTGTATAATGTCAACAAAATTTAAAGATTGAAGTCCACATTCATATACACCTGAATTTGAATTTAGATTCTAAAGTTTAACTGTTAATCTTTGAGCTATTCACTTCACAAAACTGAGCCTCAGTTTCCTAGTTTATAAAATAGTTATGATAATAATCTACTTCTGAAGGTCATTTTGAAGATTAAATGAATTAATCTGTATCAATTGCTTATCTCAGGGATTTATATGTATTTAATAAGTCATAATATTCTAAGAAATGAAGTAGGAAAGAAATGTATTGATGAAATTTAATTTAATATGCTCTTGTTTTTTGGATATTTAATATAAAAATTTTAAGTTATTAAATGACATAGTTCATTAAGGAAAAGCTATCTTTTAATTGCTGTCAAGCTATGTTACACATGAGTGGTTATTCATGTCACAGTGTCATAAATTCTTCAGGGTAAATGACAGGATAATAAACTAATGGGAAAATTATGTTATGTTTGAACGTTGTTTTCTGTTCTTTTTTATTTTTGTCATTTTAATAGTTTAAAACCTATTACTTCCTCATTTTAATTTGCACTCTTTTGATTACTTGTGAAATTGTACATTTACCAAAATATACCTGTTTATAAAAGCAGAAGGGACAGCTCTTCCTTACAGTAAAATTCCAGTTAATAAATGTAGGTGGAACGATAGAACTAGAAAGTTTCTATTTGGCAAACAACATAATAGATTTCAAAATAGTAGGTGAAAAGATGAGACACGGGATATTTGTGCAGTCTTAAAGTATCTCTTTACAAGATACTTATTAATTACAAAGTGAAAACTGGAGAAACCTGGTAGACAACCCTGTAACCAAATGATTAAAGATAGTATCACCAATAATGAGACATTCTGACATCTTGTATTTCCTGATTATTTGGTAGAATTCTTGCCAAACATTAATAATCTAAATTTAATCACGAGGAAATACCAAACCCAAATTAAGAGACATTCTATAAAATAACTGGCCAATAGCCTTCAAAGTTTCAAGGTCATAAGTGACAAAGAAAGACTGAGGAACTTTCCCAGATTGGAAGAGATTGAGGAGACATGACAATTAGATGCAGTGTGTGATCCTGCTTTGGATCTTGGGTCAGAAAAAAAGACACCTGTAGACAACTGAGGAAGTTTTATTATGGTCAGTGTGTCAGTTTTAAGATAAATTATTTCAAAACGAAGCTTAAAAAAAGTAAAGCAAAAAAATGAAAAAAACAAAACACATTTAGGTTTGAAAGGACCATATTAATATGGCTGTCAAGACATAAAGTGCATTTACAAATGATTGGTGTCCAGCTAAGTGACCTGTAGTTATTTTCAGGTAGTCTTTGCAAAAATAGCAATAGGTAAACTTATGTTAAAATCCCCGTGGTACTGAATTATAAGGGAAATCTCAATTTTTTTAGATTAAATTATTTTATTTGAATAGATGTTGTAAGTCCTTTTGTTGCATTCCATTATATTTGTATCTGTAGTCAATGCACTTTAGTTTCTAAAGTGATCACCTACCGAAGGTAGGTATTTTCTGAAATTGTGTGTTTGTTTTCAGGTAGGAAAACATATGATGTAATTGTGATGGATCCACCATGGCAGAACAAATCAGTTAAAAGAAGTAACAGGTAAGTGTAAATAAATTGTCTATTAGATACACCTTGTTTTTTTTTATTTTTTTCCCTTCAATTTCCAGCATGGACCCTAACATGGGGCCTGAACTCACGACCCTGAGATCAAGACCTGAGCTGAGACCAAGAGTCAGGTGCTTAACTGACTGAGCCACCCAGCCACCCCATACTTTTCTAAAAGCTATTGTCCTTTTACATTCTGGTTACCTTGCTAAAAGCATTACTTTGAGATGTAGGTTGTCTGAAACTACTAAAGTATTTTCACTTCAATTTTTAATTCCCCTGATTAGGTAATTCTCTTGCTCTAGAATGACATATGGGTATAAGAATGTCACAAGTAATATACTTATTAATGATTGAGGTTACTGACTGAACCAGTTCAGGGATATTTCTGTAACACCAAAGGGCAACATTTTTGTTTCCTTTGATATCACATTTTAAAGTTTAGAAGTATGTGCCAGAATATGGGCATACCTTGTTTTATTGTGCTTTACTTTATTGTACTTTGCGGACATTGCCTTTTTAAAAAATAATTGAAGGTTTGTGGCAACCCTGCACTGAGCACATCTGTTGGCACCATTTTCCAATAGCATTTGCTCACTTTATGTCATATTTTGCAATATTTCAAACTTTTTCATTATTATATTTGTTTTAGTGATCTATGACAGAGATTATGACTCATTGAAAGCTCAGATGATGGTTAGCATTTTTTAGCAATGAAGTATGTATGTTGTTTTTCTAGACATAATGCTATTGCATACTTAGTTGACTACAGGATAGTGTAAACATAACTGTTACATGCACTGGGAAGCCCCAAAATTAATTTGACTCACTTTATTAGAGTAATACTAGCTTTGTGGTGGTGGTCTGGAACTGAACTGCAGTATCTCTGAGGCTCGCCTGTATAGTTTTCCTTAGTAGCTGCTATGAATGAATTTGTATAATCCATCTTAAATTTGTTTTATGTCACCTTTTTTGTTTATGTCACCTCTTAGAGTAATCAGTTCAATTTATTTCTGAGAGGACATTTACTTTTTTTTTTTCAATTTTATTTTATTATGTTATGTTAATCACCATATATTACATCATTAGTTTTTGATGTAGTGTTCCATGATTCA